TGATAGTCTAAATAAACTACTGATTATGGTAATGTAATAGTAGATGGTAAGGGTTGTTATTTAATAATAAATAAATAGACAGACTCGAATAGACATTGTCTACATGTTAGTGTGACAAATAGCTTCAATTAACTGATGATCTCAATCATTGAAATTACTATAATATTCATAGAAATCCCTTCTGATATGACACAACATATGTACACCAGTGACTAGCTTCAAGAGGTATATCCTGGAGTTCTAGTGAAAAGCAGTGACCAGTAGAGTTCAGCCAGGTCTGTTGTGAGATAATAGAAAATCATTGATGACAATGGTGGATATTTGGCTCAGTTTCGTGGATTAGTTGAATCTAGACAATAACACCGTTGGATGAAGATCGGCTCAGTGGTCTAGTGGTTAAGCGCTCGCGCGCGAGACTGATAGATCCTGGGTTCCAATCTTGCGGGGGGGGGGGGCGGAATCGTAGATGCACACTGGTGAGGAGTCCAACAATAGGATGAAACGGTTGTCCAGTGCTTCCAGGTTTTCCATGTTGATCTAGCTTCAATTACCGCTTGGCCTCAACCATTGAAATTACTATAATATCCACAAAAACCCTTCTGAGATAAATATTTAACAATCATAAGTGATGAAATCAGAATATTGAGAAAAGATGTTTAAATAATCATGAAGATACTGATATTACGGTTATTATTAACAGTTAGTTAGATTACTTGTTGATATTACAAAATATATTCAATCTAATACGTTTCCTCTTGCTGAAGTTTATGCTAATGAACAAACAGGAAGTATTGGATTCTTGATAATGGACATATGCATCTTAAAGTAAGCAATAATGTTAATTAAACGATTATTTATTTTGTATATTTACAACTGCTTGAATTGTTATGTTGAAACAACATAGTGTTGAAAACTTGTAGTGCGTTTGGTTCGTTAATCAGTCAACTTTGTAATCATTGTAGTGGTAAATAAATCACTAAGATCAATAGTTCCTTAAATCTTCGACATTTAATGCTAACCAGATTAGTTTTAATGAACTCACCTAGCTGAAGGTGCTCGGCCATTCATTCGCACCAGATCACGAATGAGAACGCCGTGCTCAACTTCTCTCGCAAATGCTAGCCATTTTAGAGCAGTCACTCCTCGATATATTGATAACTTATCAAATATATCTTCGAACCTCCTTGCTTCTGACTTTTGGTTTCACTGGGTGTGCACGATTCAATTATAGGTGTTACTGGCTAAAGTGTTGTCAAACTACATATACTTCACCGTTACTATATAAGTCACAATGGTGTTCAATATCAGAAGGCAATAAAGAGCGGCAACTACAGCAGGATCACAAAGCTATAAGCACATCAAGAGATTTCGAACAAGAGAGGCGAACGTGTGCAGAGGCAAATTTATAGTCAAATCTTATGAGCGCATAGCAAGGCAAAGCGAAAGCTAATAATAGGATTCGACTACATCATATATAAATGGGTAAGAGAATGACTCATCAAACGATATTTAACCTAACAACATTTTGGCTAGAGTCTGTCATATGATCAAGCGTACACGTTTATACAGATATGATAATGACCATAATAGTACAAAGAATATATGTGAATTGCTATTGTTCAAATAACATTGTCTGTTAAGTAAGTTAATATAAAGACTTAACCAAAATCAACCATAATCGAAATTGGTTGTAGGAGAGTTGCTATAGTTTCTTCTATGACAATAATGAATTTAATGCATACTCATTATACTGTACAATTGTGTGATCATATTGTTTTGATGTAGATGTTTGCCAGTCAATTACTTAAAGCATATCATTGCTTGAATAATAAATATCAATTTCTAGTTTAATTAATATACATTCGTATTTGACACAGACAATTATTCGAGCACTGAATATTGAATGCTAAAGGCCAAGCAACATATACACACTTAAAACGTCACTATCTATCATGATTTTCCATCCAAATACTTCTTAGTTAACTACCTTAATATTAATCATTATAAATTATATAGTATTACGTTTGAATTGATCAAAGGAACCGATTACTTAATGTTACTCAATAATATTGTATATGACCAGATTTGAGTGACTTATTATCTAAATATCTTCTCCTTTCTTCTAGACAATACCTTGTATTTCACAGATTGAAATCATGAGTCAATTGAAGCTAGACCAACATGTAAATCTTGGAAGCACTGAAAGGCCATTTCGTCCTAGTACGGGACTCCTCAGTAGTGCGTATTCACGATCCTGCACCCCATGAGATTCGAACCCAGGACCTATCAGTCTGGCGTCAAACACTTAACCAACTAGACCACTGAGCCAGTCGGCATCCAATGATGTTAATGTCTAACCTCAACCAATCTACGAAGTTGCGTCACCGTATACCTTGTATTACATAACAACTATTAATATATACAAATATAATCCACGAAATATTTTATTGATTAAATTACTAAACATTTTCAATAAGGAAATAGAATAAACGAATGAATCCATGCAGAACTCTAGTGGAATGCTGATCATTAATTTCGAACAACTAACAATGTAACTAAATATATTTATAAGAGAAAAATCAATAAAAACGGTTATTTATCTCTTCATTTTTTTGGTGTTTACGTTACTATCTTGTGTTTCTATGTTTATTATACAATGAAAAGAAAAAAATGTTTATTACCTATGACATAAATAAACAGATGAAAATATATTTGAAAATATAGAAGTTTTAAAATATGTGCATCTATTGTTGTGTAAAATGTAAATAGAGAAACCAAAAAGAGATGTACAGTATAATGTACTGTTCAATATGTACAATTTGACTTATATACAATGTAATATATATATATATATATATATAGAGAGAGAGAGAGAGAGAGAGGGGGGGAGAGGAATGACGCTCACCTAGAATTTTAACGAATTTTACAGGTTGAATGAAAGAGTAAATAGAAAAGTCACCATTGTTTCATAGTCAAAAGATCAAGCATATAAATATGTAAATATATATAATTATTTATTAAAATCTTCTTGTTTCTGGTTGTTATGGTGACCTGTATAATAACCTAGTTTCACCAGATGTATTAGAAACATATCCATGATTCACTATGTTATCTATTTTCTTTCAATTGGAAACATATGATTATAGGCAGAATTAAACTTATTTCAGTAATAAGTGCTGTAATGAGAAAAAGACAAAAAAATACAGTAAGAGAGATATTATAAATTTCACTGTATATGTATTATAAATACACAATTGCTGGTTGATTTTAAAGTAAACATTTTTAAACATATAAGCAACTGATCCGTTCGATAAAAAGTGTTCATTGCTTCTTACCGTCTTTATATAACACTAACCAGGAGTAGGTTGGAAGAAAGCTAGGAGTGGCCAGATCAAAACACGGCACAGATCCATGAAGTCATTGACAAGTGGACTGAGTCATGTTTGGTAGGTGTAGACTACCTGGTTGGGATCCGCGAGACAATAGCAACTACTGGTTAGAGATCTTGATTTAAAAATCATTTGCAATGGCGCAGGTGCAACCGCTCTTTGTGTTCTCCCAAATTCTAATTTTCGGAATTCTTCACGTCCCTTTTTTTCTCTTCCCAAATTTATCTCACTAGATTATACTTCTTGAATAACATCTGCACGCCCTGATTTTTCTGACTACTGCTTATACCTTTACTACTTCTACCACTATGCATCTCTGTGCTTATGTGGTATGGCAACTCAAACTGATGTGCGTACGTAGGAAGTTCTACGTTATTACTGGCTTTCTGACTGAAAATAACATTAAATAAGTAACAGTTCTAAAAATATTCTACGTAGATAGTATTAGTTAGAATAGATGAATTTTCTTTTACATTTTATGCAGCAAAATGCTTGATTTATGAGCATATGATAATTTAACAGTCCTGTGATTGTCATTGGATTATTTCGTAACTGGGTAACAGAAATTTAGATTATTAATATTTTTTAAGATATAATCTCTTTTTTCATCTTTGTTACCAGTACTTTTACACACTTGAATTTTATCTACTGATCCTGTAATACTGTAGAGTTTTATGTGGACACACCATATCCCAAGTCTTTAAGACTAAATGATCAGCATCCATATAAATTGTTTTAAAAAATGTGAAGTTTAATTTCCGATTCATGGATCTTTGAAGTATATTAAGAGAAAAAAACTAAAGTACGAGATGGTGGTTGGAGGTAGTCAACAGGAAACTCTGCACCTAGGTTTCGTGCTACTTGGCACTTGTCAGCAAGGTGTAACTGTAATCTTGAGATAACTAATGCTCCCTGACGGATACGATCCCGTGTCGCCCAGCTTCACAGCCAGAGAAGTTACCACTGAGCCATCCGACCCGCGACTGGTGTTCTGTAGTACTGAACTGTATTTACAATTGATTGATCACTGGGTGGTGATCAATGTCATGTATGTTAGGTCCTTCTTAGTGCAGATCGAGGCTAGGTAACACGGGATCGAATCCATCAGGGAGCATCAGTTCCCTCAAGATTACAATGAACTATGCTGACGAGTGCCAAATAGCACGGAACCTGAGTTCAGAGTTTCCTGTTGATTACCTCCAATCACCATCTTATCTCAACATAATGCACGCAATATCAAGTCACCTAGACTAATTGTCACGTTGTAACTTGGTCGATAGTATTCAATCTGTACTAAAAAGGACCTGATATACATGAGATAGATCACCACCCAGTGATTAATCAATTGTAATAGTTAATAATATCTCAATGAGTAGAAATTAAGATTTCTAATGTTTTATAACAGTATCATATACTTTAACAAAAGAAAATAAATAACCGACAATTTTATTACTGTAAATTCAAATCATGATTAATAAATGTTCATTGTCAATTATTCTTTATATTTATAATTTAATTATTATTCAATACTGTATGTATGTTTCTATGTGGAACTTTTAAATTGATTCAAACAAACAAACAAAAAACCCCATTTTTAATAACTTCACTTACTAAACTTTGAACAATTAACCGGTTTATTTTGAATAATTCCATTTTGATTAGTTATCGTTAAATAGTTTTCTTTTTTTCCTTTTTCTTTTTCTTCTTTTTCTTTTCTTTCTTTTTCTTCTTTATAAGTATGTTTTATATAATTTTGATCTTTTAGTTCAAAACTATAAAATAATTTAAAACCTAATTCATTTGGTTCAGTTATATGGTCACTTTTAAATATTAATACCATTAAATTCTTTGATGAAATAAAATATTCAGGTTTAATTGTTGTATACAAATTTTGTTGATTATTGGTTATAATTTTATTTTGACAATATTCTATAATTAATGGATCATCAATATGTATTCCATCGATTAATTGAATACGATCACCTAATGATTGATTTTCATTTTCACAGCTAAAAAAAAGGAAGAATATAAAATGAGAAGGGGTTTCGTGGAGATTTTTTAGTAATTTCAATAATTGAAATCATGAGTCAATTGATGCTAGGTCAACATGAAAAACCTGGAAGCACTGGACGACCCTTTCAGCCTATTGTGGGACTCCTCAACAGTGTGCATCTACGATTACGCCCCCCACCCGCAAGATTCGAACCCACGACCTATCAGTCTCGCACGCGAGCGCTTAACCACTAGAACACTGAGCCGATCTTCATCCAACGGTGTTAATGTCTAAATTCAACTTATTCACGAACTTGAGCCACATATCCACTATTGTCATCAGTGAGTTATTGCCTCATAACAGACCTGGTTGAACCCTACTGGTCACTGCTTTTCACTAGAACTCCAGGAAATACATCTTGAAGTCAGTCACTAGTGAACATATGATTATTATTATAAAGGGTTATGTGGAGATGCCGGCTCAGTGGTCTAGTGGTTAAGCGCTCGCGTGCGAGACTGATAGGTCCTGAGTTCGAATCTTGCAGGGGGGGCGGGATCGTGGATTCGCAGTGCTGAGGAGTTCCATACTAGGACGAAACGATCGTTTAGTGCTTCCAGATTTTCCATGGTAGTCTAGTTTCAACTGACTCATGATTTGAACTATTGGAATACAAAATTGTTTATAATAAATAGGTAACATAATAAGCTGAATTATAGTTGATATCAGAATAAGGTTTTTGTGTATATTATAGTCATTTGATAGGTGAGTTTTATGAGTTAATTGAAACTAGATCACCATGGAAACCACAAAAGTACTGGGCAGCTGTTTCGTTGTATTGTAGAACTTCTCAGTAGTGAGTATTGATGATGCCCACCTTGTGAGATTTGAACCTAGGACCTATCAGTCTCATGCGCGGGCGCTTAACTACTAGACCACAATATATAATTGTATTTATAGTGAACATTTAAAAAAAATCACAATAGCTTTATGGAAGATGATATTTAAACTTGGGCTATTTACAAATTACGTAAAGAATCAACCCGATCCAATTCATGTTTAGTTTTAAGGTGACTTTCTAAAACTAAGTTTAAATAATCAGTTATAGTGGGATATTTTCAAAATAGTATATAGTACTAATTATCATACTTAACATATACTGGTCCAAAATTGAAGAGAAAATGTTCATGTCTACATACACCAATTTGATATTTCATTCATACAATAAATATATTCCAATGAAACCTAATTACCTACGTTAAAACTACCAAATTTGACTGCCTACAGCACTATAATATTTTATGTTTATGTAGTATGTAATTATTGCCAAGAATGCTGATAAGTTTATTAATGTATCCATAAAATCACTGTATTATATTTTTATAACCCAGTATTTTCTTAAATTTCACACACGTAGCTCATCATAAGGCAATTATCAGTATAGGGTTTTAATTGAGACCATGAACCAATTAATGCTAAATCACCACTGAAAATTTGGAAGCGATTGAAGGCCGTTCCGTCCTGGCATGGGACTCCTTAGAGGTGCGAATAGAAGATACAGCATGCAGGATTTGAACCCGGACACATTCGGTCGCGTGTGCAAATGCCTAACCTCTGGATCACTAAGCCGGCATCCATTGATGTTAATGTCTAACTGGAAGTTTTCAATGTTGGTCTTACATTGATCATTTCATAAACTCATTTAAAACTCAACGATTCTTACAACCATACACTGATACTTATCGTGTGCTCACTAGTGACTAGATTCGAGAGGTTATTCTTTTGAGCAGCCGTAACCAGTTTGGTTCATTCGTGTTCGGTGTGAGGCAGTCATCCACCGGAGACAATCTCGTGGATTGATTGAAGTTAGACATTAAAACCATTGGGATTGTTGATGAGCAATTTTGAGTTGTCCCATACTAGGATGAAACGGCCCTCCAGTGCTTCCAGGTTTTTAATGATGGTATAACATTGAACGGTTCATGATTTCAATTATAAAATGATTACTGATAGGACTAAATAATTATTTAGTTTAGTTTTACTATAACAATGAAACATTTAAATACCACAAAATCATGGAAAGATAGAAATGAAAAATTAATTTTTGTTTTTCCTTTGAAGTCAATATTATTTGTATCAAAAGGGGTTTAGTGGATATTATAGTAATTTTAATAGTTGAGATCATGAGTCAATTGAAGCTAGACCACCACGAAAGACCTAGAAGGGTCGTTTCATCCTATTGTGGGACTCATCAGAAGTACGCACACACGATCCCACCACACGAGATTCGAACCTAGGACCTATCAATATTTTTTACGCGAAATATTACACCAACTAAAAACTCATTATTCTCAAATTTGTTTCTTGATTCGTTTACCACTTTTCTTAATGAACGATAGCTAAATTTTCGCAGTTATTTAATGCCATAGATTAAATGTGCAACTGTTAACTGAAATCGATTACATAAGAAAATGTTGTGTTGAAGAATGCGTCCAACAGCTCGTATTGTACAAAAAATCACTCGAATTTAACAACAGAATTAATTCACAGATTCTATATGAAGTTCATTCATAGGAGACAATATCTTAACCATTATTCGTTCCATCTAACAGTTATAAAACCACCCCTCTCTAGAAGGATGATTTAGCGTACATTTAAAGATTACTTTAGTGTGACTATGTCGTTAACAGTGTAATCTACAATTAAGAGTTTGTGATATGAATTTGTTCACGTGCTTAATAACCATGAATTGATCGATTCATCTTGACTTTCATTTGTATTCAATGGAGTTCGTAGGTAACATGAAAGTATATTGTTTGTTCAGAATAACATTACTTTTTACCTAACACGTTGGTATGATGATGACTCCCATATACGTGAAAGTTTCTACATCTTCCAGAACTTTTTCAACAAGTGTGATTGGGTTAGATGGGTAGGACATACATAGTGGAAATTATCAAACTGCATCACAAAGCAACTGCTAACTTGGAATCGTGAAGAGAAATGCAAAAGAAGGGAATCAAACAATACACTGAGTCGAGAATTGGAGGCAGATATCAAAAGGATGAATAGCAACTGAAAACAACTGGAAAAGATTGCTTAAGAGAGAGTTCGATGAAAAATGCTGTTTGGAGGCCTATACTCCTTTTTGGGAGGTAAGTATGATGAAAAAAAAAATCATTCAACAGTAAATCAGTTTCAAAATTAAAAAATGTTATAAATAAACATTCAAACTTCATATCAATGATGATGTACTTACTTATTTGAATTTCCAAGTTCTAAAAATAAAAATTTCACTAAAATTATCTCTGTAGGCTGGCCTATAAAAGTATACATTGCTATAATTGAAGGTGGATAAGGTTCCGGGTATTGAGGTGAATGAATTATACCTTGTGTACGATTTACTGGACCTTTTGAAACAATTAATTTTCTTTGTACATATTTTGATTTCATTTCATTATTGAATTGATTAGAATAATGAAAGTTCATAAAATCTGGATCCGATGAATATTCATCTGAAATAAATAAAGTAAATAAATTTATATCCTCTTGTTTTCTTTTATTTGTTAGCTTGACATGTTTCTTTCTTTTACAATGTAACACTTATCTAGACTAATATATATCATTAACAAGGTTTGACTTGATCATTTCGAATAAATTGAACATTGGGTTGATTGTTATAAATGAAGATTATATATATTTCTAATATCCCAGTGAGTAGAAAAAATTACATTTTCTAATGTTTCGTAACTCAGTGTAATCCCTTTCTTCAGAGAATGAATCATCAAATCAAAATTAATCCAAGTTTAAATAGTGCACACGGAACAACGCAAGAATAAAAAAAACAGTTCTGAACAATTTGAACTTGGCTTAATTTTGATTTGGTCATTTATTTTCTGAAGAAGAGTCACAAGATATCAAAAAATCTAATTTTTCTACTCATTGGGATATTACAAAAATAATATTTATTTAGATCTAGATCAATGTAAGGCATTTCAAATGCTTATTAAATCCCATTCACTAAATCCCATTTTAAATATTTCATAACGTGTGGCCTTTTGTCCTATTAATACATAACGTAATGACACTACCAATTAGAGAACAGTGACTTATCGGTTGGACCAATGATGTTTAAACCCATACAAAAAAATCTAAAGTCCTTATCGGTTCTTCTTCATGCCTAGATCTACCTGTTGAGTCCAGAACACCAATTTCAGTCTCTGCGATATGAATCATGTATTTCAAACATACTGGGTTTATATACAAACCAAACAGACCACATCGCACCACAAAAGAACATTTGTACAAAATCTAGCCAAAAGTGGCTCTGAATGTGGCAGACTGTAATTGATAGACTGGGCAAAACTCAAGAACGGTAAATTTTATAATAATAGTCTATGGGTCAAAATAAAGATTTTATTAAGAGGCGCATGAATATTCATAATTTAGCTACTTGATAATTATACAGTAAAAATATATGTGTGGTGGTCGGTATTCGATATAATCCTTAAACTTCGTATACAGCTCGTCTTGATAACCGTTCTATATAACGTCTCAACGGTATATTAATCAGAAGGCAAATACGGAGTGTTGATTACGTTTATTGCGAGACCACACACATATATCCAAATGTACAGATGCGTTAAACAAGCATAGAAGAGTTGTGCAGAAAGGCGAGCAAGCGAGCCAGAGCAAGACGAGAGTGCGCGTGTGTTGAATATGAATAACATGGACATATATATACCATGTGAAATGAATGAATAATCGAATCAAATAATCAGTCAGTAGTAAGACTAGCAGAGTGAATAAATGCGTAGGTCGTAATCAATATTCAAGCATACGTATTTCATACAAGCACAAAATAATAAGGGTACAATAAGTTGTTATAGTGCGGATGACTTTGTCCGCTAAATGAGTTAGCAAAAGGGCTTAACTGAGTTAAATGAGAATAAACTCAATTGCACGTGAGTCACTATATATGTACCGTATTTGTCCATAAATAGTTCATAATTTTCATCCAGATATAACAAATATTTATACAATGAAGCATTACTTCAAACTTATCATTGATCATATTCATTGCGCATTTACAATATAATTTGTAGGAATGAAATATGGAGTGATAGTTTTTTTGATAACGTTGATTCCGTGGTTGTGACGCTTGTCTTTGATGAGTTTAACGAATACTTATTTTGATTGAGATCATAAATTGAATAATGTTTGACCACCATTGAAAACCTATAAGCATTGGACGACCGTTTTGTCCATGAACCCGCACGTGGGGTCCGAAATGGTCGTCCTGTGCTCTAAGGTTTTAAATGGTGGTCTAAAATCGATCGATTAATTATCTTAATCAAAAACGTAATCTGCACAACCCCATACTGATTAGAAATATTTCACTTACTGTATAAATACTTAACAAGGTAGAACAATGGTGCTTAAAACGGCATCTGGAGCTTAATACGGCTAAAGTGGATGGATATGCTTCGGCGATACATCATTCAACTTAGATATTACCGTAAATGGTGAAGTGTTACATACAGTAGTAGACTTAGGACTTAGATACTCCCAAGACTTGCCGTTTACAGAACAGATATTAAAACAGACCTCTAAGTCTCAACGTCTAATAGGTTACATAACTCGAAACTTTTACAACAATGAGTCACGTATTTTAATGTACAAAGTTTGTGCTCGACCTCTTCTACAATATTGCAGGTTTATTCTTAGCAGTGCGCGCATAAAGGATAAATTAAGGCTGGAATCAGTACAAAGACGATTTACACTTCATATTCTTGGAGCTGATTGTACCTTAACTTATAATTGTAGATGTAATAAACTTGGGCTAGACCCTTTATGGAAGAGGAAACTCAAACTAAATCTTATCTCTTTCTTCAAACTTCTTAATAAACTATCCTTTACATCCAATCACGTGATTCAATATGCAGAAACGTCTCATTATGATATCCGTAATTCCTTGGCACTAGTGAAACAAACTCATTCTAAATCATCTCTTTATATGAATTACTTTACCTGTAAATTTTCTAGACTCTGGAATAACCTACCACAATCTATCCGTACGATAAACTCACTCCCATTATTTGTTCGCTGCATCAATACATACTGCTCCTCTGAAAATACATTGAATGTTCTAACACCTGTAAGTGTATCTCATTCCACAAGTGATATTATAGAAACTTTAAATGTTTAGTCATCTTTATTAGTGCATTCCTTAAGTTAAACCACCTACTCGCTGTCACTTTATGTTAACACCGTCCCCAGCAAGTTTAACTAATTTGAATAACATCAACAGTATACCACTGTGTCACATGACACACGCATTTAGGTAGACCGGATTGATATATTTTGGTAATTACTGCTTTGTTGTTCCGTGCTTTCTGTTTTCGTTTTAATTTCTCTAGTTGTAGATAATTATCATTGATTCGATTTGGCACAGGAAATGACCTTAATCACTCCATTCATACATCAACAGGCTGTCCATTTGAAAAATATTAAAAATTCCCGGCTGATGCATTGGATCGCTGTAATACATGTACTACCTAAACAATTACTGAATTAGTACACCTAAAACTTTCTTCTATAAAACGTTTGTTCTGTACATCTAATGTCACTATTTATATCGAATTGACCATACCTTTAAACTGGAGTGAATTCTGTAATTATTATTTTCAGAATATATAAATTATTATTATTACTTACCCTACCATATTATCATTGATTAGTACTTTAGTTAAACGCAGCTTATTAAGATACAACAGAATAGTTGTTAATTTTTTAAAGCAGATGACTTATGTACTATATACCATGGATACATTTTTGTTCCTGACAGGTTTTTGATAACTCTGACTTTCTGCACTAATGTCATCTGTACAGAAGAAAATTATTTTCAACATAGAAATTTAACTGTGATTGATTAGAATATGGTTTCTTACAATTTTCATTCATTTTATCTTTATATGTATTGAATGTTGTTTCAAAAGTAACTGAATGTAGCTTGATAAAATGAATTAGATCATTCTATCAAAGAATTAGAATTCGCTTCTGATAACTAAGTCATCCATGTCAAACCCCGGTGGATGCTGATAATGAAGATTAAGATCATAGTGTATGGTATCATACACATAATAAAAATTACTGAAGTTATTTATTGTATTCATGATACATGTACAACGACAGATGCAAATCGAATGCTAGAAAATATTTATATGAAGATAAAAATAGATCTTTACATTAAATTGAGTTTTATAACATAATGCCTGAACAATACATATTTTATACCCAGCATAACCGATCATTTTTGCTTATTTTCCTTTTGTAACATTCATATAAGCGTAATTTATAAATATAGTTGTATCATGATATCTTATATAGTATCTTCAATGATATGCAATCATTTACGAACAAAAGATTCATCGATTTCATATCTTATAAGCTGATCATTATTAAAGTAATATAACATAATCACACCGAAATTCAATGACCAACCTTGGATCATCTATAAAAGTGTGAGTATTCTGCTGTTTTTACTAATTAATGTCATACTCATATTTTTGGTTTGTATTCAATACATATTGTCTCTATTTCATGGTAAATAAATAATCGTTTCATTACCAGTTGATAATATACTGAGTCATTTGATACATTTAGCTAATTAAAATAACAAAATTGTGGATTTTAACTGTAGTGAACTGATAGAGAGGCTATAGAAACCTTATTGTCCGTATCCAAAATAAAACAGTAGATTCTTAAATGCATTATGAAAGTTCACTTTAAATTTGACAATGAATACTATAGACAATTGGATGGTGTATTCATAGGGTCGCCGGTGAGGTCTCCCTTGGTACAAATTTCACTTTTATAACTGGAAAGTGGACCACTTAAAGACATAGTTAACCATCTAACATCTTGCTGTTATTATATAGATGGTACTTTCATGGTATTAGGGAATAAAATGGGGAGTATAATTTACTTGACATATTTAATAACATACACACATCTACTACATTTACACTTGAGAAACAATAGAGTAATAGCATATCGTTTTCAAATGTCCAACTAATCGGAAAAGTAGATAGGACACTACAAAGGGGAATACATAGAAAGTTTGCAGTTGGACAATTTACTCATTTCTATAGTACTGGATCAATCAGATACAAAAGAAACTTAGTAAAGATCATGACAAATTGTGCTAGAATGATTTGACGTGACCTGCTCAGTAAAAATGGCGACCCAGAGAAATTTCTCAAGGAACATATGAATGAGATGACAAGAAAACCAAATTTGTCTACGGTTCTGAAGAAAGTACTACTCTTAAAATTACGATTACTAAATAGTGGTGCTGAAGAAACTGTAACTCAAAAGTTCAGAAAGGCGGTGCAGAAAATATTCACTGCAGACAGACAGAATGTTGTTTTTTACAATTAACAAAATGAGAACCCCCAATAAAGACAGACTGCATGAATTCGCTACATCCATATGTATTTACCAATTCATCTGCTCCTATGAAGTCAGTTATATAGGGAGTACAATTCAGCAAGTCCATCATCGCATAGCAGAACACCATCCGTGTTGGTTAAACAAAGAACAAGTATGAGTGATTAAGAGTTCTGTTATCGTTCATTTGGTGGACTCAAATCATAAAGTTGATTTAAATAAAGCTTTTAAGGTTGCCCACCATATCCTATTAAAATTACCACATGGTATACAAGTTTGTCTGTTGCATATTACTTAGGCTATCGGAATCCACGTTCAAAAACTTAACTTTTGAGTCCGAAAAGAAGTTCGTACAATAATCATAGCTACCTAAGCCATTAGTATACGAATGAGATTTTAGCCGAACTTTGATTAAACCCACTCCTTCAAAAATACCCCTAATTTCTTCCTTTTTTTGTATTTTCGACGTTCGTCTCATGATTCTAGAACACCATTGAAACCTGGAAACACTGGAAGGATGTCTCGCTCCAGTATGAGACTCTTCAACAGTGATCCGGTTCAGTGGTTTAGAGGTTAAATGTTCTCATGAGAGACAAAATATGTTGGATTTGATTTTCGCGAGCGAGATCGTGGATGTGCACTGCTGAGGAGTCCTATACTAAGACGAAACAGATGTTCAATCCTATACAAACACATAATGATATGTGCTTCATATCAATTTTTATTTAAAATATCCAAAGCATATTTAAATGCAAAAATAATACAAAAAATATATTATCCAGTTACCTTCGTGAAATTGTATATTTCTTGTGGATGTAAATCCGGCATCAGCAAAAAATAGTCTGGACTTATTGGTATTTGACAAATTTTCTAGTTTATCTTGATTATTTCTAGAATTTTGATATTTTTCTTCATGTTCATTAGTTTCAACTAGTTGATCATCTTCTTCAAGAAATGGAGAAGGTAAAACTTGAGATTCATGAACAAATTCATAAGTTCCATGAAAACCTTGACCTTGATAGAAAGGACTACGACTGATAAAATCCAATTTTAATATAGAAGTATGTGAAACAAGTTGTATATTCACTAGGTTAGTACAAAGATATGCCAATGTTCTCGATTTATTCTTGTACATCTCAGATATGGAAATAAAATCATTTTGCACAGGTATAGAGTTTCTTGTACTGCATCTAGTTGTTAGAAAAGAGAAAAGTTTATTAATTTATCTATGTTGCCATGCCAGATACACGAATCCACATTCTAGTTGATAAACTATGTTGGCTCTCATTATCTGATTTACTTATTTCTCATAGAACAATAACTGTTGTAGTACTTTTGAAACTTAAGTAAACCTAATATACATTTATAAGCGAAGATGAATAATGGATGTCAGTGGAATCGAGGACACACGTTTTGTCCTATGCAAGACTCCTCAGTTGTAGGTACTTGGATCTCGGAGTTTATGTTCACTCTGAGAATCGATCTCAGTACCTTTGGCTTCAAACGCCATCGCGTTATCCACTTAGCTACTGATTCCTGATAGTCTCCTACTTGTGCAATGAGGTGAAGTTTAAATTCAATTGGTGTTGTTAACTTGTATCTCACTGCTAGCCGCTATCCATCTTAGCTTATAAAGCCTGTGACATAAGGCAATACAGAGGCAGTTCGTACAGGATGCATATAGGCCAACAAGAGACTGATCAGTGACAGTCCTAAATAGCAATGGGAAGATACGAGTAAACAACACCAAGGGAATCTAATATACATTTGTTACTAGAAGTTTAGTAAAACATCGAAATGAGTTACATTCAAGTGTAATAAAATGTGAATAGAGTTTTCACGAAATTTATGAATTATCAACTGCGGTTAGTGAAAATACTGAATTAGATAAAATAGCGAGTTTTTGCAATTAGGTCATGTATTTCAGTGAAAGAGGATAAAAATGTGTAATGTAGGGTAAGATTAATGGATGAGATCATCTTTTGATCAGTTTTGCAAACTGAGAACAAACATTTAGAAAACTAGATTATTTCTTTGATTTTACGCTTCTGCAACTGCCTAATCTTAAATTAAACGAGTTATATCAAGGTGTAGACTGTCTGAATGCACGAAATCCATTATGTATAGCTATGAATAAGCTATGATATATAAATTCTCCTCTTAGTCCTGTAAATTTTACCTAAGTTAACCCTGTTAGTTAATGGGGTCAATTAAAGATAAACGCTATTAAATTTGGACATTACTTAGACAGACTGTATGAGTGTAACATGGAGTAAAGCTTCTCAATCTACTTAATTTTACTAAACATGACACAACATCGTTAATAATACCGTTTAGAACAAGCTAAAACCAGATAACGAATACGGTAGGTGATAAGTTAACATATATACACATAAGCTTATATAAAAGTAACCAGTTTTACAAGTGAATAACTGATAAAGCTAAATATGTATATTCATATTGACTCGAAAATATAACATTGATTTATTTGTCGAAAAGTTTTAATAAATCACATAGATATTATGAAGAATCTCTACACGACTAAACCATCCAGCACAGAGAACAAAACTCCATCAAAATCATCCACCTGAGCTACAAATCTTTTCCACTATCTCTATCTATACAAGCTCTATAAGATATCATATACTTTGGTACTTAATTCATAAAGTTCAAAAAACTTGTTTATCACGGGGATTTTGTTTTAATAAAAACATTAAATGTATACAGTTTGGATGATTCCTGACCATGCTAACTTTAGAAAAAACGCATTTCAAGTTAAGAAAATTGTGGAAAAAGACTAGACTTGAGACGCAAGTATATTTTTGCAATAAAAAGTAATTTGAAAACAATTTTTTTAATGATGCTTTGAAATTTAACAGTTGAATTCATGATTCAATTGAAGTTAGACCACCATGGAAAACCTGAAAGCACTGGACGGCCTTTTTGTTCTAGTATGGTACTCCTCAGCCGTTAGCATCCACGATCCTGCCCCAGGGGATTCGAGCCCAGGACATATCAATCTCACGCGCGAACATTTAACCACTAGACCACAGAGCCGGTCGGCATCCAACGGTGTTAATGTCTAACTTTAACCAATCCAACTAATTGTATTCACTATATGAACCATGTACGCTGATTAAATCCTTATGATTAATTAAAACATTTATTCAGTAATTTTACCTCATGAACTATTAAAATACGTTTTATAATTTAAAGAAAGTTTGACATGAAATACAGTCATATAGCAAAGATGGATAATGGACCTCAGTGAAATCTTATTTGGGACCCGATTCCCAGAGTGAACGTCAACTCTGCAATGTAGGTGCATCCAGCTGACATATCCCAACTAGGACAAAACGCGCATCTTGGATTCCACCGCCAACCACTATTCATCTTTGCTTAAAATGCTTGTGACTTAAGACAATATCGTGGCAATCCGCATAGGATGCACATATACCAACAAGCAAACAATACCAAGTGAACAGTCATATAGGTTAAATCGCCATGGATACAAATATACACACTTGATAGATTTACACAATTTGAACTAATTTCTTATTTATTCAGAAAAAAATTTTCATTTTTCAAATAATCAAATGAAAAATTAAATCATGTTAAAGCTCATTAATATTAAAAATCAGCATTTTGCTTGTTGCATAATTGATTTATAGAATTGTCAACAAGTTAAAATTATGATTTCTTCAAAAACCAGAAAAACAGTTAGTTTCATCATGAAAAACTGCTATTTATAATGCTAGACATTTTGGTAATTGACTTTATATATTTTCAATAGTTGGGATCATGAGTCAGTTGAAGCTAGACCTCCATGGAAAACCTGGAAGCACTGAATGTTTTGTTCTATTGTGGGACTCCTTAGCAGTGCCAGATCAGTGGTCTAGTGGTTAGGCGCTTACAGGCGAGACTGATATGTCCTGGGTTCGAATCCTGTTAGGTGGTTCGTGGGTGCACGCTGCTGAGGAGTCCGACACTAGGACGCAACGGCCTTCCAGTGCTTCCAGGTTTTCCATGGTGGTCTAGCTTCGATTGACTCATGAATTCAACCATAAAATTACTAAAATCTCTACAAAACCCCTTCTGATAAAATTGTTTGGTCAATGTACTAGTTCCGTGAGGAAACGTGAACAAGGAATAACTAACATGATGTAAAAGAGGGATTACAATGCTAGATCATGTAATATGAATAATAACAATATACTTAAAGAGTCAGTAACGAATTATAACGTGAATGTAGTAAGAAGACTAAAATGTATTTGCTACAACAATTGTAGGTAAAGGTAATAGAACTATGAAATAAATGAAGTAATATTATGAGCAATTACGAATAAAATAATGAGAATATGGGGCATAAGGAAGGGGAGGAATGCAGTAATAATAATTATAATTAAGGCCAAGTTAACGACGTACTTCTTTTGTACGCATAGCTCTGGCTTGAGCTCATAAATGGTAAAAGCTTCGGCTATTTTTAGGAGTTGGATACTAAGAAATCTAGGTAGATTTGGACGGATCATGTATACAACCTTAAAATCAAACTGTCGATCAGTAGAATGTTTATACTTGATTAGATGTTCAAGCATGGAACTCCTGACTGCCTTCCTTTTACTCTTGTAGAAGCACACTGGGACATGTTCCAGTATCTGATTTGAATGGGAGCGCTGGCTACGGCCAATGTACGTCGCTCCATAAGAGCAGCTAAACTGGTGGATGCACATGGCGGCGACCAAACGGGGAAGTTTATCTTTTATGGATACATAAAACAAGTTCCTACTAGCGAATGTTATTCCTAGTTTTGCTGCCTGGAATGTTCTTTTTATCGTTGTCTTTCAACGATTTTTGATGACATCAGATGTTCGATCACCTTTAAATTTCAAAATTATATAAAGGATTTTGTTTGGAATGGAAAACCGGATTCCTTGTCACAACTACTTTTTTCCATAGCCAAAGCTCCTACCATCCATGAGCTCAGGCCAGAGCTATGCGAGCAAAAGTAGAACGTCATATCGTTATCGTTACCTTGGCCTTAATTATTATTATTATTATTATTATTACTGCATTCCTCCATTTATGTACATTCTAAAACTATCAGTTGATAGATTTCCTGCTATTGTTTATCTACATTATGCTATTGTGAAGTTGATTTATTCATTCCATCATTTATATGGAATAAATTTCACATTCAACCTTTTTTAAATAGTTCTTTTGATAATAACAGATTCATATCAGAAGGAGGTTAGTAGATAATAAAGTAATTTTAATAGTTGAGATCATAAGTCGATTGAAGCTAGACCACTATGGAAAACCTGGAAGCACTGGATGGCCGTTTCGTCCTATTTCGGGACTCCTCAGACTTGTTATAAACATGTCAGAAATCAAGCGGAATTTCTATAATAAATGAATTTCATGCATCAATCTTTTAATCGTTTGTAAAACGTAAGTATTATTATGGACGTGTAATGAGCCGCTAACTGAAAATTAATGATTGTTTTATCTAACTCATTATGAAGCGCCAACTGAATTTTTTCACTTTATCATCAAAATAATAATTGAATAAAACATTTTCAATCATAATAAACTTTCAAGTTATAAACATCAATCAGTTCATGATGTTAATCAAAAACTTAACAATCTCCACAACCCCTAAACTGATGAAATGATTAATTAGCTGAATAACTCTAACATACAACTTAATAATGTTCCTGTGTGACTGAGTATATTTTCACTGAAAACTTACATCTGAAACATGTATTGTGGTCATAACATAAGAAAATATTTCTAGACGAAAGATACTTGATACTTTCATTCATTTTACATTGCTTGTTTGAATCTTCCCAGTCCACTGTTAGCCACTATAAATATCTGCTTATAATGCTTGTAAATTAAGACAATACCGAAACAATCCTTACAGAATGTACATATGCCAATATGAGACTGATCAATTGCAGTCCCAAATATCTATGCGAAGATTCGAAGAAACAATATTAACTAAAATTTCACTCCATCGTACAAGCTAGTGTCTATTAAAACTCAGTAACTAAGTGAATATCGTGATGGCATTTGAAGCGAACGGTATTGAGTTCGAGTCATGGAATGAATACCAACTCTGAGATACGGATGCATCGAGCTAACGAGTCCTGACTAGGACGAAATGCGTGTCCTAAATTACATCTCTAACTACCATCCATCTTTGCTTAGAATACTTGTGACTTATGACATTATCGAGGCAATCTGTACAGGATGTACCTATGCCTATAAGACTGATCTATTTCAGTCCTAATACATCCATCGAAAGATTTAAATAAATAGTTACAATTATCTATTACATAAAGAAACTATATGATTTTTGTTACTAACCTTTCTATATTACTTATATTATCTTCATTTGTCATTGATTTTAATCGAATTGAATGAAATGTTAATAGAATTCGTTGATTATTATCTGCTATAAAAATGAATCGACATTTAATATTTGGTGGATAATTACTTGGATAAAATGGTGAGAAAAAATTTCCATATTTAATTGTATTATTATAATAAAATTCATAATCACAAAATGTATTTTCTTTATGTTTTCCATTATTTTGATAATTACCTTAGTTAAAAATTAAAAAAATTAAAAAAAAATAAAAAGTAGAATAAAATAAATAAAAAATAAAAAATAAAAAAATAAAAAATAAAAAAAAAAAAAATAAAAATGAATTTCTCTTTTTGAGTTAAAAATTCAATTTATAAAATAATGAATTTAAACAATAGAAAACTATGATTATTGTATTGGATAAAGCATGACAGTATTGTATTATGTAAAATGAGTATGCGGGAATTTCTTTTATATTTAAGAAAATGTTTTTTTTTTGTTAAATTAAAATCATTTTGTGATTGTGAATTATTTACGTAATAAAAATTGATTTATTATTAGTATTATTACTATTTAATTGTTTTATTGTTTAGTGGTTTATAGATTTCATATATATGAAGTCGGTAAAAGCTATAATTATTAGATGAGGGGTATTTTTGTGAAGGTTGTAGTAATTTAATAGTTGAGTTCATGAGTTAATTAAAGCTAGACCAATATGGAAAACTTGGATGGATTGGATGGCTGTTTCGTTCTATTGATGGACTTCTCAGTGGTGCGCATCCATGAACCTGCCATAGCTTATTAGATCCCAGCACTTATCAATCTCGCGTGCTAACACTTAACCATTAGACCACTGAGCTGACCTCCATCTAACGGTGTTAATGTCTAATTTCAACTAATCTACGAAATTGTTATCAGTGAGTCACTATCTCATAATACAACCGGTTGAACTCTACTGGTCACCGCTTCTCACTAGAACTTCAGGAAATACTTCTCGAAACAATTTTTTTTGGAAAACTGAACACTGAACCGATTGATTTTCTGTTTTAGTGAATACATTGACAATAGGAAAAGTTGGTTTTAATTATTTTTGAGTCCTATCGTGAAATTAATAACAGTAAATGATGTGTGTTGTTTTATGTTTATTATGCACAATTAAAGTTTTGGGTTAAAATAATTCTTATCAGATTGTGTTCTTTTTGGTGGAGATTGTAGTAATTTAATGGTTGAATATATAAGTCAATTAAAGCTAGACCACTATAGAAAATTTGGAAGCATAATCTGCACAAAAACCCTCGATCTGATAATAATCATCTTGTACTCATTAGTGATTGGGTTCAACATATATTTTGATGGAGTTCTAGTGAGAAGCCATGACGAGTGGATCGCAACTGTGCCTGTTGGGAGACAGTTACTCACTGGACAGAATGATGGACTTTGGCACAATATCGTGTATTGGTTGAAGTTAGATATTAACACCGTAGGATGAAGGCTGGCTCAGTGGTCTAGAGTTTGAGTGTCTGCGTGGGAAAACGTAGGTCATGATTTAAGTCATTCCTGAGGGTTGGTGGATGTGCACTGCTACTAGGACGAAACGGTGGTTCATTGCTTTTAGGTTTTACATAGTGGTCTAGCTTTAATCGACTCTTGAATTCAACTATTAAATCAAAATAATTCACTTAAATACAATTAACGTTAAAAGTAGATATTTATTATTCACTCTGAAAACCCCCTTTGTGTATTCAAAAACAGTTAGTTCTCACCTTAAACCTACCGTGGTAATATTGGCTTATTATCCAAAGTTTCAAATTGTGTTCACATTAATATTATTACAATAGTTGAGATCATAAGTCAATTGAAGCTAGACCATCATGGAAAACCTGGAAGCACTGGACAGCCATTTCGTTCTATTGCGGGACTCTTTAGTAGTGTGCATTCATGACCCCGCTTCGCAGGATTCTAACACAGGACCTGTGAGTGCTTGACATCTAGACCACTGGGCTGGTATCCCACAGTGTTAATGTCTCACTTTAACTAATCCACGAAATTGAGTGACACATTCACCATTGTCATCATTGAAGTACTATCTCACAACAGACTCGGTTGAACTCTATTGGTCACTGCTTCTCACTAGAACTCCAGGAAATTCATTTTGAAGCCAGTCACTAGTGAGCATATGTTGATTCATATCAGAAGGGGTTTTGTGTAGACTGTAGTAATTTCGATATTTGAGATCATGAGTTAACTGGATGCCCACTCAGTGGTCTAGTGGTTAAGCGCTCACATGCTAGACTGATAGGTCCTGGGGTTGTATCTCGCGAGGTGAGGTCGTTAATTCGAACTGCTGAGGAGTCCTACAGTACGACAAAACGACCGTCCAGTGCTTTCACGTCTTTCATGCTGGTCTAGCTTCAATTGACTCATGATCTCAACTATTGAACTTACTACAAAATCTCCTCAAAACCCCTTCTGATACTTACTTTTATTACTCTTATTATTATTATTATTATTATTATTATTATTATTATTATTATTATTATTATCCTTGTCTCCTCTTACTCCGTTTACAGTCTAGTTGACCTTTTATTTTTATATATAAATATTCTTAACAAGTATATTGGATATGACCAGATTGTTCAAAGTGTATTAAACTAGTATCTCACCATATAGTTATGATGATCATCGTCTTCTTATTTACATTATCGAAATGTATCAAAAAAGGGAACTAATTACTTTAATTAATGTTCTTTTAACACATTAAACAAGATAATACATTACAAGACTTACTTTTTAAATCAAATGTAAATTGACCAATAAATCCCATTTGTTGATGATATTTGATACCAGGAATTTTAGATGCTGTATGAAATATTAATAATAATATAGAACTAATTGAATAAAAATCATTTTGTGGAAAATCATTTAAATCACCGCATAATCTATAATCTGCTGGTCTAGAATAATTTACTGAAGAGATATTCATAAGATTAGAATGTTTTGCCATTTGATTATTTGATTCAATTGTAGTAAACATATCTAACAATAAAAAGGATAGAGCATATATATATATAGATAGATACCTGGAAATGTTATTCATTACGTAATCTACATTAGTTGCCATATGAAAGTTACATCATTGAAAGTGTACAAGTTAAGTGGCATCATTTTATAAGTCGGATACATAAGAAAATGTAAAGGTAATAATATAATCCTTTATAGGTCAATATTGTTTTGTATACCAGATGAAATGAAGTGAAATATTAAGAAAGAATTCTTTAGTGGGACTATTAAGAAGTGATGAATCTAATAATGATAATAATAATAATAGCACTTAACTGGTGGTGGTTTTGTGATCTAATAAATTGGTCATTAGTAATGTGAAAACATATGGAAAAAACCGATGACCTTGAGGACGTTCCAGAAGATAATCACTGAAACTCATTTATTTGGGAATTCTGGAATAATTTTCAGTATCTTATACTTCAGTTATTTGCTATTGATATTTACTTATACAAACATATTATGAAAAATAATATCACTCAAGGTCTATATCTGAGCTGTAAAATATGATTATCATGGTTACATTCAAATTTATAATGAACACATGTGCTTGAGGGGAGTTATCATTTACCGGATGACCATATTGTGAAAAGATATTTTTTTTGTAGGACCTGAAGAAGAAAACTATGATCTTGACGACTTGAGAAATTGATCACAAGAACTAAGGGACAACTAACTGGGGTCAGTTACATCTGACTTTTTTAATTGAGAATTTCTGATGTATTATCACCTTACTTCAAAAAGTCTTACCAACAAAGCCTGAGCTCGGTGGGATAAGGTGAAGTATGAAAATTTTAGCGACTACCTTTTCTAACTCTTTCCTTTCTTTATGACATGGTAACACAACTAAGGTTAACACTTTGATGCTGTCACGATTCTGTATAGTCAAATGTATAGCTTCATCCGTAAAGCTTAGGTTGTTGTTTTTAGTCTAACAGTTATCCGATTGACTTTTCTGGCATTACAGAATATATGTGTTCCAGCCGAGATAGCTCGATTAAGTCATTGCGACGAGCGATCATGACCACAATTTAAGGTAGGAGCTTAGGTCCAGAAAATGCGGATATACTCATAGAAATATAATAGACAAAAATATTCATTTACATCAACAGAACATTGCATGATCCTACAGTTTACCAACCTCAACAAAAGAAATTCGAGTGTACTATGAAATCTATTTTCAACGTACAAGTTTTATTAGCATAAGCCTACTATTATGATACTGAAACAATGATTAGACCACATATGGTTGCAGTTTGACCCGTCATTCATATAAGAAATTGAAACATTCCACATATAATACGAAACAAATATCATGTAGGATGACGAAAGTAAAGATATAGATTAACATGATGGACGACTATATTGTTCATTATTCCGTTTGATGAAGAATAAAACTCATCAATAGATTTCATGAACGATTTCTTGAAGCCTATCCTGAACAAGTTTAAGCAGTTAAGTAAAATCCACTATGTTGAATCGGTGGGTGAGCAGTTTGCACTATATGTATGGAGAACTACTACAACCATCATCAAAAAGGTATAAACAGTTGTCTACGCAAGATACTGCATATCCATTGGCTGGATACCATCAATAACAGGCTACTCTGGCAGTGAACTTGGCGGCTTCCAGATAAAAAGGATATTAGAAAAAACACCGGAGGTGGACAAGACATACATGGTGGAAACCATAAGATTGAATCATGAGGCGAGCCCAAAATTGTGATCCTCAAGGCCAAACGAAAAGAGACAGACCAAAAAAGGTATGTCGCGCTAGTATTAGTGACAGACTTCCAATAAAATGAATAGATATTGGAAACAATTGGAAATCAGAGGCCAGGACAAAGTTGTCTGAAGAATTTTGGTCGATGGCCTATGCTCCACGAGAGGTAGCAAAAGTAAGTAAGTAATACTGGTGATTCGTTATTTCAAATGATTTATTCAGCATTTTAATTTCTGTATCCTCAGATAAGAATATTAGCTATATTTTTGAGATAACACTTATAGTTATCATTCAATGCAGTTTGAATAAGTTGTATGGGATAAATGAGAAAAGATGCTGACGCGAACACCCTATTGATCAACATATGATTTCACTTTCTAATGAAATAGTGGTTAGGCGTCTGCTTGAGAGACCGATTGGTCCTGGGTTCAAATCTCACGAGGCGGAATCGTGGATGCACACTGCTGATGAGTCGCACGTTAGGACGAAACAGCCGTCCAGTGATTTCAGGTTTTCCATGGTGATTTAGCTTCAATTGACTCATGAACTCAACTATTCAATTACTATAACATACACAAAAACCCTTTTCTGAGAAACAAACATATGTTATTGATTGTCCATGTGGCTTTATTTCATGATAGTTATATGTCCATGTTTATAAAGGAGTTGTTATATATCCTCAATTTAGTTTGACCAATAAGCATTTCCAACCAACGCTGGGTTTCCTCAATCTACAAGTTAATCATTTTTTATTAGAGAAAGTTTGTGTAACAAATTATAACTATCGCTACTACTCTGTTACATAGAAGAGTGATTTGCCTTAATTGAACCAAGGTTAGCAAAGGAAATTCGATTCCTGCTTCACACTAACGACACAAATCTCACAAAGTACACGAAGCTTCAAAGTCAAAGTCTAGAACTCATTGATTTATGCCTAACAACATATTTTCAATTAAACGACAGAATCTACGAACAAACAAAAGGGACATCGATAGGATCATCAATATCAGAACTGATGGCAGAAGTAGTGATGCAGAGACTAGAAGCCTCGATATTACCAGTGATCAAGCCAAAAATTTGGATCCGCTATATGGACGACACATCCGTCATCGTCAGAAAAAGATGAGCTGGAAAACACGTACAAGCTAATCAACAACATCAGGTTCACAATAGAACAGGAGTCAAACAACAAACTATCATTCTTGAATGTATTAATCACCAGAACTGATACAGGAAAACTGTAAACTCAAGTGTATAGGAAGCCGACCCACGCAGATCAAACTCTTAACTACAATAGCAACAACCTAAAAGCTCACAAAATCAACGGCGTACACACTTTGTTCAAGAGTACGAAAAAACATTGCAGCACACTGACAGCACGAAAACTGAAGAAAACTACCTAAAGATCATCTTTCAAAAGAACAACCACTCAATCAACTTCATCAGAAAAAAAATACCAGCCGCATGCATCATCACAAACAAAGTCAAGCACAGAAATGAACAAATGGATCACCCGACCATACCTAAAAGTTATATCAGAAATCATAACGAAACTGCTGAAAACCATCAGTACTAACATATTTTTATCATTACAAATGATAAGACTATTTCCCGGTTTTTTTTTTAAATTTTAAATCTACTAAACTACCCATTAAAACGTTTAATTAGTTGAATTTAATTGGGGATTAAAATAAAAATATAAAAACATAAAGCAACACAACAATTTTGAACACTTACTTTTTCTCAATAGGTTTTCTTAAATTGAATGTTGTAAATGTAATTTTCACTAGTTCATTAGATAAACCATGAAAGTAATACAATAAACAATTTAATTCATACTGATAATTTTTTGGATAATTCGGTGTTTTAAATATACCCGATTTATACATTGTACTATCGAATAGAAAGCATCGACAATCTAAAATAATGAAGCAAATATTATGATTATTATTACTATTAGTAGTAGTAGTAGTAGTGTGGTGTGTGCTACTTATATTGACATAATTAGTATATGATGTTAGTCGCGAACAGAATGTCTGGCAGCAGAGAGACAAGAGGAACGAACAGTAAAGAATAGGAACAGGATGTAATTTGTGTGAAAATGCAAGAACAATGAAGTCTGAGACATTTTGAGACAATTGGTGGACATTTTGCAAATGATTGTTAGATTTTATTAACAAGTTCTGTAATTTTGTGTTAAATAGATTCGATTGTCCCCACCCGTGTCCTTGTTCACTCCAGTAGTATTAAGGGTAATAGTGTGGTGTGGGTTACTTATATCCACACAAGTAGTAAAAGACGGTGGTCAAGCATAGAATGCATTTCAGTAGAACGTCGATAAAGAAAGAATGGGAACGGAATGCGATTGGTATGAAAACGTATGAACAAAGAAATATGAGACAATGGATTGATGTTTTCAACAGGAAGAGTGAAGTTTGAGATGATGGATTTATATTTTGCAAATTAACGATTTACATTATGATTCTCAGATTTTATTGAGATGCTCTGTAATTTAGTGTTCAAATACATTCGATTGTCTCCACCAGTATTCTGATCACTACAACAGTAGTAGTAGGGGTAGTATTGTGGTGCATGCTACTTATATTGACATAAGTAGTATATAACACTAGTCAGGAATGTAATGTCTGGCAGCAGAAGATTAGGAAGATAAAGAAAGGAAGAGCGGGAATAGAAAGCAATTGGTATAGAAATACCAGAACAATGATGTCCGAGACAATTATTGAACATTTTGCAAATCAGGTATTTACCAAATAACTCTGTAATGTTGTGCTAAATATAATTCGGTTGTCCTCACCTGTGTTCTCCTTTACTACAGTAGTACTAGTATTAGTAGTTGTAAGTAAATAGCGATTTTTATTTGAACGGAATTTGTTTTAAGAAACTTGAGAAAAAAAGTATATAACTGTCTTACCATTACACTTTCGCCTATATATGCATATACATATGTCTTGCCATTAAGCTACTTCTTATCTTAACTTTCTCTTCACACATTCACTTATACATGATATCTATTAAACTAAACTATTTGTATTCATTTAAGTGTTTTTATTATGAAAATCATAGAATTTTGCATTCTTTCTTATGGTATAACTTTCCTATGAAACTATTCACTAGTCATTAGTTCAATGAAATAGAAAAAACATACAACCAAACTAAGCAAATCGATCATTTTTCTTAAAAAAAGAAAAGAAATTTAACAAAATATTGAAATTTCAGTTATTTAATGATTAAAGAAACTGATTTCGTTAAGAAGGATTTATATGTGGCTTATTGAATACATTGTGTCACAAGACAAGCCCTCACATGGAATCCTTAAAATCAATGGAAAAGAGGAAGACTAAAGAACATATTATGCCAAGAAATGGGGACAGATATGAGGAGAATGAATAACAATTAGATAGAACTAGAAAGGAAGGCTCAGAACAGAGTGGGTTGTAGAATGTTGGTCAGCAGCGTATGCTCTATTGGGAGTAACAGGTGTTAGTCAGTAAGTAAGTAAGAATTGAACACATTATCTATGGCATTCGGATGATATTATATGACTATTCAAATTTGGAATCTAGTAAATGTATCCTAGAGACTATGACTCTCAACAATTATCGTTGATCAATGATTTGTATATCGTATAAATTACATGTTCACACATAATTTGCAAGAAAAAAAACCCAGTAGAGTTGTATAGATGATAGATATCATTATAATGGCTTGACATGATATAGTCACATAAGTTGATCATTTGGTAGATTGTTAATTGACTCACGAACTCAACTATTAAATTACTATAGTATCTACAAAAACCCCTTTGAGACTGTTAGTACTAAAAGTAATGGTACGTCTGTCGTATCGGGATATTGCAAACATATTGTTACTTCCGTATATATATAATTTACGTTGAAAACTTGATATTTCCACATTTATACGAGACATTTTAGTGCTGTATCTGCTTCGGTTTGGGCACCCGGGCAGTATTACAGCCCTCACACAACTCAAATGCGGTTTGTATGGTGCATATATATCTGGTGCCCTCTTGTACCAATATCTACGTGTTCAAATAAATAAATAAATTTTAGTGTTGTATATGCAATCCTATTAAAATTCTGAAGGGATTATATTCGCTGATTTGAGTAGTTTAAACTAGAACCCTTCAGATTTTTGAATAATATAATGAACAGACTCGGCGAACCAATCATATATAAAATAACGAGTCATGAATTTTGGCGCGAAATTCATCCATACATTTGGCTAAATAGAGTTTTGGCATCATAACTGATGTCAATTCGTGATGAAAACCCTAAATCTATTTTTTAATCCTAACCATCGACTGTAAATGATAATTATAACTGCTTTATAACCCTCATTTAGTCTTAAGCAGTAAGTGTCCACTCTCATGGTCACTTCAGCGTCGTTCAAAGGTCGTCCATAAATTATAGTTTTTGATGGAGTTTTGTTCTTTGAGCTGGATGGGGAACAAAACTCCATCAAAATCATCCACCTGAGCTACAAATCTTCTCCACCATCTCATAAATTATAGTCTCACGAACAGACTCTTTTGATATATTTCCAGATAATATTCTCTGAAGTGATAATAGTAGATCCGTAAACAACTTTCCATCTCATAGAATGTCACATCGTTATCTTGATGAGTTTGAAAAATTCTTCATCTCAGTTACATGACGATCTATATTTTTCTGAAAATTAATTAATTAAAATTTTAGGTGAATGATAATTCCTTTAGTTTTGACTCATTTCGATTATGGCAGTATATTATTTGTCAATATATTAAGACAAATCAACGTGAACATCTATCTGATCACTTTAAGAAAAGATCAGTTTCTAAAATAATGCATAAAATATAATGTACAGCATACAGTTGGTTTCGTTTCACAAATTTCAAAATTAATGGTGTAAGTTGTTGACCAGTACGATTAGTTGGCTCCATGTCATTCCTTTCATCAATACAACTACATAGAATTGAATTATAAGCAGATGTGTATGATGGCTAGAAGTGAAATCTAGAACGTTCGTTTCTTCCTGTTTAAAATTCATCATCTGATATGACCTAAGGAAACATTTAGGCAATCCGCATATAATGTACATATACCAAAAAGAAACTAATCAACTGAAGTTTTAAACATCAATGGAAAGATTGAAATAACTCATAAAAATGAATAGAAACAAATGGCCAAATGAAATTACATACTTATTAATGTTATTATTATTAAAATTGAACATTTAATTGCGTGTTTTGATAATGGACTTCAGAAGAACAAAAACCGATTGTTCCGTACAAGTAAACAACTTTTAATAGGTGTCGCGAAAATAAACACTCTTAAATAATCATTCCCTGAATCATTGAAATACCATTGATGTATGCCAAATACAATCATTCTATTCTACCAACAACAACAACAACAACAACAACGAAACATTATCGTGTCTACTTCATTAATGTAATCCATAATTTTGTTATATAAAACTAAGTAAACATCAATTCAATTGTATTGTATTCATTTAACCATCTAGTTTGTTTTAAGAAGAAAAACAAGCAATAACTTCATTGAATTCAAATTTCAATTCAGACATTTTTATGAAGCAGCTTATAACAATGTTTAACTATCATTGCAATTGCCATTTACCCGTGAAAACAATTTTCTTTTCTTTTTTTCCATTCACTTTTTTTTCTTTATTAACTTCTCTTAAATTTTGATTGTAATTAAATCTATTTTATTTTAAAATGGATTGAAATAGAAACTATAAAGATTTAAAATAAAACAAACAGCAAGTAGAGATATACATATTTATTTGAGTAAAACACATGTCCATAGTTTCATTCCTGTTAATCATTTTCTTTTTTTTTTTAAATATTCAGAATTACTTATTCTGTTTAATAAGAAACTCCATCTGGAGCCCCTCTGGGGCTACTGCCGGTCCAAAGTCCGGATAAAGAAGGAGGGTTGAGCATGGGGTTAGTGACCACATCCGTAGAAAACTAATTCGCTAAGCAAGACGCTAACAAGAAAAAATTATTTAATGTAAGTAATAAGGAATCAACAGTGGATGGTAGGTCAATTTCGTGGATTGGTTGACGTTAGACATTAACCCCGTTGGATGCCGACCGGCTCAGTGGTTTAAAGGTTAATTGTCCACGCTTGACATCGAAGATTATAGGTTCGAATCCCGCCCGGCAGGATTGTGGATGCGCAGTGATAAGGAATGCCATAGTAAAACGAAACAGCCGTCCAATGATTTCAGGTTTTCCATGGTGGTCTAGGTTTAATTGACTCATAAATTCAACTAGTAAAATTACTACAATCTCCACAAAACCCTGTTCTGATAAGAAATCATAATTAAAATCGATCTCAAAAGTCGAAAACGCGAAACATTCTTCTGATAATATACAATTACTTATTATTTGTAATGTCATATCGTTATCTTACGATCACTTATATTTTCATGTTCTCTATCAGGACCTGATCTTAGCTAGACAACTAGGAGGAGTTAAACGTTTCTTCCGTTCGAGTATAGAACTCCTAAGGAGTTTGAATCCATGGCCGTTTGACTAGGAATTGAAGTCAGGATCTTCTGCCTTAGTCGCGAACACTTAATCTCTAGACTACACTTCTTTAATTTATCCAATTACAGTCTTTTGATGAGCCCTTAATCTCTTGACAACTGAGTTAACATGTGAAGGTGTATATGTCCAAATACAGCGACTTATGATATTGTGCTACCATCTTCCATTGCATTCAGTTATTAATTTTCTTACATCTGACACAGTTAAATTTCACCAGTCAAAGCTTCTCAATAGCACTCCAAAAATTACATTTTGAAGCTAGTCACTAGAATGCATATGATTGCTATCAGTATAGAGCATTGTTGTATTTAATTGGTAATCAC